CGCGGCGTGATGCAACGCGTAAAAAGACAGTATAAATCATTATAATCTGTAATTATGCATAGCAATGGTAGGAGAACCCATGTGCCTGTATGATGGGATCCAGTGATGTAGTGTATATGGAGAAGAGGAGGGGTCCAAGAACTGATCCCTGAGGAGCCCCAATGACCAGTTGATTTGCTTTGAATACCTCCCCTCCCCAGGCCACCCTGAAAGACCTACCTGTGAGATAGGATTCAAATCAATGAAATGCAGTTCTTGTGATGCCCAGTGAAGAGGGGGTGTACAGGAGGATCTGATGATTTACAGTGTCAAAAGCGGCAGATAGATCCAGCGGAATGAGAACACATGATCTGGAATCAGCTTTCGCAATCAACACAGTCTCAGTTGAATGGCTGCTTCTGAAACCTCAGTAGTTAATGTCCAGCTGGTTATGCTGTTAAATAAATAATGATACCTGGTTGAAAACAACTCATTCAAGTGTTTTCGATAAGAATGGAAGAAGAGAGACAGGTTTGTAGCAATCTACAAGTGAAGTGTTTAATGCAGTTTTTTTGAGCAGTAGGGTTACCCGAGCCTACTTGAATGCGGTGGGCAAAATGCCTGTGAAAAGAGATGCGTTGATGATATGTGTGAGTGCTGGTAGAATTGTAGAAGAGATAGCTTGAAGAAGGTGTGAGGGGATTGGGTCTAGATGGCTTGATGTAGGACGGCTGGCAAGGAGAAATTTAGATACTTCTGCCTCAGTGAGGGGACAGAAGGAGGAGAGGAGAGTTTTAGCAGTGGATGTGGTTGGTTTGAGTTACTGTGTGTGTGGAGCTGAGAACAGACTGCTGATGGTTTTAGTTTTGTCTGTGAAGAATGCAGCACAATCATCAGCTGTTAAAGAGGTGGTGGAGGGGGACAGAGGAGGGAATTTTATGTTTTGAAGAGATTATATTTGTCTGAAGCGCTGTTCATCTTGTTGTGGAAATACAAAGATTTGGCAGCATGGGCTTTAACAGAGAAAGATGAAAACAAAGACTGATATATACTCAGGTCAGATGGATCTTTTGATTTGTGCCATTCTATCTTTGCTGCCCTGAGTTTGGTCTGATGTTAGCAGCAGGGGTTGCTGAGCCTTCTGGACGAATCCAGGTCCCATTAAAGCCTGAGATACTAAGAGAAGACTGAGAAGCAATGGCTGAAATGAAGTCATTGTTGACAGCTGGCTGACAATTCCAGAGACCCACAGGAAAAAGAGATGGGTGCAGTAGAAGAGGTGTAGATAGGATGAAGGTTAGCAAGATTGCATTGCTGTCTATGATAGAGCATTGTTGATAAATAAAAACAGGAATGTATTCAAAAAAAACATGATAGATGTGGGAAAAAGAAGGTGTAAGGAGAGTGTGTGCAGAAAGGAAAATAAAGATACTTAAGTGCCTTGTCGGTGTCCTTGCTCGGTGGGGTCGCAAAGGTAGAGTCACAGATATTCCACATCAGTGCACAGATAACACATAAATGCATAGCTTATCAACTCTTGAGTGAATACAGCTGTGGACACCTTGACAATTAGCACAACAAAAGCCTATAGCATGTGAATGGCTCAAATCGCCTTGACAATTAACACACCAAAAACCTATAGCATGCGAATGGCTTAAATCGAAACTACTGCGGGCCAGTTCGCCACTTAAGTGCAGTAAACAAGCAATACAAATATCAAAAGCTTCTTCATAGCCGACGGCTTTTATTCTAATTACAAATATATGCAATCAAAATACAAATTATAAAGAATGAAGAAAAATAGAAATAGAAAATGAAATAACCCTTCTTAACAGCAAAAAATATCTAACCAACAGAAGCAGAAACAGAAAAACGTACGCGCTACCACCTACCTGACTCTGCCTGAGAGATAAGTAAAGATATACTTACCTGAGAGGATTTTTTTTATATATCTCTGAAATATATGATTCTGTTCTTGAAAACAATATTGTATTAGTCAATTATCAAAGAAAGAGAAAATAATTAGCCATAATATGGACTATTGTAGATGCTGTGATACTGTGCTACTTAGATACTGTGATTTCCTTCTCACATCACTGATTTCACCATTAACTATTCCCCTAAACAGTTTATGTTGTTGCATATGGTATCGTTTTAATAACTGACCATCAAAATATATGGGTAGACATCACCTTTTCTGTGTTGCCATGTTTGATTCAGAAGATATGACACAAAACACATAATTTGGTAATGGCGGAATGTAAAATGGCTGCCATGGCAACCTTGAGGTGTTTTTGCGATGGCTCTATTTCTGAAAATGTTCAGGGCCCCAAACTGTACAAGTGTACCAATTTCATGCTTTTATGAAAAAGTGAACATATCACCTGAAATTTTGTACATATCACCTGGACTATTACAGACTTTCTTGTATTTTACTTTTTCACCTCCAGGCTGTTTTGGCAAATTGGTGATGAATTCTCAAGATCTCATGTGCACATTTTCATACGATCTGTTTAAGTCTCACTAAGAGTTAGGTTTAAGGAGTTATTTTTCGAAAAACTCTTAAGTTTTCATACAAAACAAATATTTTCTCATGAGTTTAGTTGGGTGTTGTAGGTGGTGGCCAGGAAGTTCCTGTGTGGTTGCTAAGGTGTAATCAAAAACATTTTACAGTCTTAATTTTCAAAAATATATTTCATTGAGCTTCACTGTTTACAACATATATTTAAAATATATTTAAAATATATGTTGGTCACAAAGACTACATTTTTTGCCGTATGGGAACAAACAGTTGTATATTAATTAACTAACAAAGATTTATAAATACTGTAACAAATGTATTGCTCATTGTTAGTCAGTGTCACTTAATGTATAATCTGACCTTATTGTAAAGTGTTGCCAAATAATTATGTTTCAAGTACATTTTATGAATTTAAAGTGCCCCTATTATGCTATTTTTAAGGTTCCTAATATTGTCACCTCCAGGCTGTTTTGGCAAATTGGTGATGAATTCTCAAGATCTCATGTGCACATTTTCATACGATCTGTTTAAGTCTCACTAAGAGTTAGGTTTAAGGAGTTATTTTTCGAAAAACTCTTAAGTTTTCATACAAAACAAATATTTTCTCATGAGTTTAGTTGGGTGTTGTAGGTGGTGGCCAGGAAGTTCCTGTGTGGTTGCTAAGGTGTAATCAAAAACATTTTACAGTCTTAATGTTATATAACAATTATGCTATAAACAAGTATTGTATAAGCTATTTTGTTTTTATTTTTTAAAAATGTAATTGCTCAGAAGTTGAACTTTCATTGCTCAGGAGATTCTCAGTTCTGTCATGACAACTCTCTAAGGGTTTAGCATGGTAGTATACGTGACAATGTTAATGTGTTTGGTCTTGGCAGAATAGATCTGCTACGCTTAAAAAAAAAAAACGCTTTCGTTTTCTTAAAATATGCATTTAATATCACTTATCATTTTCCAGCGATTCTCTAACGATTCGTTCGAAGCAGTTCTCAGATTCAGTCTCTCTAAAACCCTCCTTTCTGTGAGCCTGCTCTGTTCTGATTGGTCAGATGTCCCGGTCTGTTGTGATAGACTTGCTCGATAGAGAATATCAACATCTATTATTTATCATACTTACAAGTTGTGATTTAGTGGAACCAGCTGGTCCAAATAAACTGGGTACTGAGGCATCTTTCAAGAGCAAGCTTTGTGTGAATCCTGCGTTGAACTCCCCCAGATTAGAGAAGCAGCCGTCAGTAAAATGACGTGTTTATTGGCGGGTCAAGTTGTTCGTAGCCGGCAACATAGAACATAGCATTATGCAAATGTGTTACCTCGTGACGTGTAGCCATCACAGAAGTGGGATTCGAATTACTGACGACTCGTTTAGGCTGTTCAGAGTTGATTTTTTCTTTTGGGAGACAATAACTTACAAGTATACTTGCAGCATGAAAGCTATTCAAAATAGTAGTATACTTCAAAGTGCACTATCATGTACTAAAAAATGGGCTAGAATTATATTGCTTATATTGCTACCTGCAAGTTGATTTATAATGTAGTTCACAGTATAGTTGCAATAAAAATCTTAAACGTAATAAACGTAAA